TGCACTATCTTACTCTTCTTACCATTAAGTTTAGTGAGATGGTTGTAAGCAAGCCTTTCAGTCACTGTTTTATTGGCTACAACTTTTATTTGTTTGTAGCTCGTATCCTGTAATAGGATACTTTGTGAATTGATGAATTTCTCAGCCTCTGTCAGTGTTTCAAACTGAGGGCACATAGGGAAGCAGTAGTCGTCCTGATTCTCTCAGTCTGTGGTGCTTTGTTTCAGAGTAAGGCATTTCCGCCGACCTAAGTAAGATGCCTTGAACTTGTTTAACCCTCCTCCCTGATTACCTGGTATATTGTAGACTATCACGCTTAGCTTTGTGTCTAGTCTTTTGATAACCTCTGTTATGATGATGTTAATGACAATGTCTACCTTGGTTACCGATTCTGTGTCAAGTTCGCCAGGGTTTATGGTTCCGGTCAGGATGCTCAGAGGTGTAAGTTCACAGACCTGCGATTTTATGTCACTAATCTGTGTTCATAGTTCAGATATGCTGGCCATATTTTCTGAACATCCCGCATTCACGGCCTTACTACACCTTATGTCCCGCATCTCAGTCTTCAGCTCTTCTACAGATAGCTTTAGTCGTTCTGTTTCTTAAGTAAGTGTTGAAGCTGGACTCGGTATCTGAAGTTTTGTGGCACATGCATAGGGATTAGTTAAAAGGTCTCTGTCAGAACCAGATGCTGAGTTTGTAGAAGTGATGCTACTACTAGTTGTCAGCATGTTTCTGTTGTCAGTTCCAGCCACGTTAGATAGTAGCGACGTGGCAGCTTGACGCTCGCGGCGTATTGGCGTGGTGTGTGACTCGTGTATAATCATATCAGTTATAATTTGAAGTGGCGTAATGCTGGACGTTTCCAGGATTTGATTGAAAGTCTATATCAGCATAATCAAGACTGGCAGTAGGTGTTTCAGATGCGTGACATTTTCATTAAGCTCCCAGTGGGCACCGATGCTTGTTAAAGCTACTCTAAAATGTTGATAAAGTCTGACATGAACGTGAACTTCATATTAAGTGTTTGGTCGTAGTATCAGATATTTATAAAGTCAGAAAGAAATAGCTCATTACTTCTGCAACGGAGAGATTCGGAAATTTGTTTCTGTGATAGCATTTGATACTATAATTATAGGCGCCGTTTCAATTTTGTTCTCTAGCTTCGTTTGCGCGGCTGTTTCATTTGAGGTTTGTTGGTTGGACTTTTTAAGATGGAATTGCATTGGCTAAGTAAGACAATAGCAGACACCATGAGGTACCTTACTTCTTACCTTGGGAGGCTAATCAGAATTTAGGAGAGGTAAAAGTTACGAGGTTGTTTAAAGGGAGACCATAGATTATGGGGTACTCGCGATCGTGATTTCAGAAGAGTTTAAGATCCTTCCATATTTTTAATTCTGTTGTTTAATCTACCCCAAGAAGCCTAATCTTCGCGAAATGCCAGTTATTGTCCAATAGTTTTACACAGCTGCAATCTATTTTTTGCCACAGGTGACGTTTGGGAATCCACTTCTGTAATACTCATTATCTGAGTTAGTAGTGCTTTAGATTAGTACTCTCCATCTTCCAGATACAAAAGTGGGACACTGATTAGTGCGCTGGGAAAGAAGCATAATTACCGTTGTCCGGTTACCATTTTCTTCATGGCTTATTACAGTAAACGTATAGCCGACTATACGTAATCAAGGATCCTTGACTACGTCTATGCTGATTCATCAGTTTTCCGCTAGAAATGGTCTTATTTAAAATCGGTAATAATTAATTGTTACCCACTCAGAAACAGATGACTAACAAGTGATAAGCTGAGTTGTAAACAAAATATTTGAAGCCAGTAAAATACGTGTCTGATAAGCAATGTAGGGGATAAAGTGGCGGGATCGTTCCACAGAAACATCGTATCTCCAGCTTTCCTCTATGGTTAAGTGGTGCCTCAAATGGCCAAGTGCTTTTCGTACGAATGCATTTCACTGCACATTGTTGAAAATTACAGTTCTGTGAAGAGTTCTCCGTTCTTATTCACTTCACCGAGCGAGGGTCTCTCGGTGTATGATGAGTTTTCTTTCTGTATTTTCTGCTTACAGTTTGTTTGTGGAACTCAAATTGACTAGCATTTCGAACCAAGACCTCAAAGACTTAGTTAAATTCAGAATATCTGGTTATGCTCATGGAAAGTCGATATCGATCTAAGCGCATCTGCCATTATTGACCTTTTAACGGGATTTAGAGCATCATAATGTGAGATTTCATATTTGAACGCGTCAGTTTTCGATTAACATTAAATGAGAGATTAGTGGTTCGTTCATTCGAAGTGTCCTCCCTTTTTGTGGGAGTTGATAATGGCCTCAACGTACGTTGTATGGCAGAAGACTGAATAAAATCGATCAGAAGTATTGTCGTGAATTTGACTGATGTTTATTCATACACTGCACCCAGTAACCATGCAGTCGTTTTTCATTTATGGTGAGGAACCTAGCTATCCTCGAATTGCCAGTCTTCGATGTGACACTTTGGAGTCCATGACCACATTTAGTATTCCGATTCAGGGATTAGTTTACTACAATAGCGATTGGTTCCGAATCTTTTCTGCTTTGGACAACTCTCAAAGTACATTAATTGTTAAGTCGTTTAATTCATGACTGTACTGGGAGTAAACGACTTTGGGCTCACCAGCACATAGGAATACATTGCCTGAAATGGAGCACTCGCAAACACTGTCCGTGTAGATCATAAAAAGAAGTGGACTTATGACTGCCCTGTGCAACTCCACTTCGGATCTTCCTAGGGTGAAACAGTGCAGATTTGATTTGAGTTTTTTGAGACCGATCACTAAGAAATGACTCTAACCAGTTTAGTTGTGGATTACGAATTTCACAGAAGTACGGCTTCTCAAACCGAATATTGTGAGATATCGTGCCAAATATCCATGATAAACCGAAGGGGAGAACAATGACTAGTTTACGTTCTTTGGGGCTTCTAATGACTCATTTGTGAAAGTGAGAATGACACATTACTTAGTGCCTACTTTTGATAAATCCGTGCTGAGACTTTGTGAGAAGTCTTTTCTTATGCAGGTAATCGGGTAACTAAAGGACACTTTTATGGATCCTTAATTCTATCTAGAACTATTCGATGATTGGTGTTTCGGTGTATCTCTGAAGCTTTTAGGTTCTAGTCCTTATTGCTATATTATTTCACCAGTACCTGAATTATCCACTAAATCATTTGTCAAACTCACTGTTATTTCCTCAATTTATTTCAGAATAATGAAGGAACTACTTACTCTTGCACCTTTATTAAAAGCTTTTTTGATACGAAACGTTTTCATTGCAAACATAGTTGAAGCAATTTGGAAGTTGTCTTCGTCGTTCATTATAATGTCGAATTATACATCATCATTTGATTCTGTTTCTAATCTTCCTCCTTTAGGCAGTATTGATGTAGCGTAGACCAAACGACAGGCTGTAAACTGGATTCGCCTTCGTTTTTCAGAAAGAAAGAGTACACTGTACATAAGGATAAGTCCTCTACTGCTTCGCCTACTGATATAAGAGTCCACCTCTTGTTCTTTTTGCTTTCCTCTGACATGATATACCTCCTAATTAAATCAATTCCGATAATCATGGAGTCAGTTTGACTGTTTCCAGTTAGACTGCTCCATGAAGTAGAATATTCTTATCAGAAGTTAACCGGTGGTCCTTGTCAAATGGTCTTCTGCCAAAATCCTGACAGTTTATGACTTTTAATTTCACTTTTAGATAAGAAAGGTTATAACATGAATTGGTTCATTTATATGATCCTCATTATATCAAAGAAATTGGAAAGTAGTCAGATGTTAAATGTCTTATATTGGGCGTTCCTTCCAATCTTTTCTGGCCGTTCCATATCCAGTTAGCGTCTAGATAGAATGGAAATTTTGCGAACATTTCGCTAAAAGAGTGCCAGCAGGGGACCGTGGCAACATAGCTGGCTTTTTGGCATCTGAACAGGAATTCATCCATATTACTACAATAACTAATACTTCACTTGAGAGAGAATTTTGTATCTCTAACGACTTTCCATAATTACCATTTTAACCTCCATTCCAAAAAGTGAATTTCAAGCATTTTGCCTTTAATGAATAGCTAGATGAAGAATATAACCTATACATCCTGACGTGTAAACTTTTGATCGCTGTTCTTGCTACCTAAGTATGTTGCCCGTAATTGTATCCACCAAGTGTTATAACGACTAAAGTCAAATATATGCGTGCTTTTGAGTTTCAGGCCGACTGTTTTCCTCTGAAGATAACTGTGGCCAACAATTTTTCTGAAGCTGTATTCAGTGGTATCTCCCGCACTGGGGAACCCAACATGGTGTGTTTAATTTCGGGCATACATCGTAATGCCGAAGAATGAGTACTTTTGTGATTTCCTTTCTCATTTGCACTTGCTAATGTAAGATACTCAGTTGAATGAACTTTCGAATGTTGTTTCCGCCCTTCCTTTCTTCATTTTATACGAGGCTCTGAGATGATGACAGAGCTCGTCAAGCCAGAGTTATTTTAAAATCTGCCTAAGTTTTCCCAAGACCACTCAAAGACAGTCAATTTTCAGGATTATACTCGAACAACAGATATATGGTTCACGAAGAACATCTAATTTATAGTTTTTTTCGAAGTTGTAATGTTAGTAAGACCTTGATGAATTTCATGTGGAAGAAATGTTAAAATGAATCGATCAATAGTTTACATCAAGGCTGTGGCCTTCGCACAGTTTTGACTGGTTCAAGGTCACTCCAAAAGACCTGGAGTTTGGAAGAAAGTGGTGGAAGATGCTGAGATGCACGTGTTTCGACTTTTCCTTCTCTTAGGATGTACATGTAAGGAAATTTGGCTTTTCACTTTCGTTATAGTTCTTCGAATTCTCAACGCGGAGTATGTTGCTTCAGTAACAATACATTGTTGCATAGAATGTAGCGAAGTGAGTTGGAGTCACATATTTTCTCAGTTTTATCTCTAGATCACTTTACACAGTCTCACAGTTTCTCTAAATCGGAATCCTGACTTAAAACCAGAGCAAAGTACTTATGGATTTATCGTTACGCTTGCGAAGTATTCTAATCCAGCAAACTTGCCAGGCTTTGGTTGGTTGTCCAATACCCTCAAAAACTTAGTAAGTATATTTTTTATCGAATGTATTTCATATCACCAAGTTCTGTAAGGTTTAGTTTCGTGTGTACTAGAACATAAAACATTCCATATGGAAATGAAATTTGGATACTGGTGGCACATACTTCTGTCATATAATAATTCCACTTGGTTAAAACACAGTGATTCAGCATGCCTTACTGATGGCATCTTTAACAAATTTATTGCTGGTATTCATACTTAGGTTTTGACATGATTATTCCAAACGTCATTATTAAACATTACTGTGACGATGTTTTTATCAAATAGAATTCTTCCGTGACTGAAACACTTTGCTTATCGGCCAAAAAAATGTACGTTGTCTGTGCAGGCAATGAATGAATGATTAACTGTAACTTCATCTTGATCATATACAGTTAATTGGTCACGCTGCCTTTGCTTACTTTCTGAAAGTCACCTAGTCTTTCGAAGCTGTGATACACAGCTTCTTTAATTCCATATTAGTTTGTTTGTTAGATGTATCACACAGTCACTAAAACAGTATTATTTACTGGATGACGTTTCGAACAAAATTTACTACTGTTCATAATCATATCAATTATAATCACACGACTTTGAAACTTGAGTTTTATAGTTTTCTTTGTCTTCTCCTATTTGTCGTCATTGGGGTAGTAGAATTTTCCAGATATCTGGGTTGACAGGTGTTGAATCATTCCTATTGCATGTATTTGCAGTTGCCTTGTTTATCGAATATATAAATAATATACTGTTCTGGAATGTCATACATTTATTCCCCTTAATGAATTTGAACAATGCATGAACTACAGTTTTTGCAGAATAAAGTGTTACCATCATTTATTTCGCTGCCTTCTCATCAGCTTCTTACAGGCCAAAGTCATCATTAAATACATCTACAAAAACTATATATATATATATATATATATATATAATATGAAACACTTCCGAACAATAATCATAGTACACAACGGCATTACGTATTCAGATGAAAGAGAGATGAAAATATCCATTTACTAGGGCAAAGAAAGATTGATAACTGTTTCTTTCTGAACGCACAAATCAGGTTTCAGGCACTTGATGGAGATGGCTTCAGCAAACTTTAGGAGAATTGAGCTCTTTTGCCTATTGATAATTTTGAACGATTTTGCGACGTTCACCTCATGACTCACGTCAAGGAGATGCCTGGCGATGGTACTGTTTAAAGCATTTGTTCCCTTTAGACATAAGCTTTTTGGTACATGTTCAGAAAATCGTAGATGTGCCCTTCTTTCTGTCCTTCCGATGTAACTGCTCCCGCAGATACATGTAAATAATATTAATATTATTAAGTCTTGCAATCAGATTACAGCTAAAAATGTTTGAAAAATGAGGTTTAAGCAATTTTAATGCCGTTTTGTTTAAAGGCCACTTATTGTAATGCTGCTAAAATCGAGGCTGCCTTCCGTTACTATCTGCTAGTGCAAGAATTCACTTCGCATTTACAAGTTACAGTTCAAATCGGGAATTTTTTGTGTCTGGGAAATTGGACATCTGTTACAATTCCAGAATTACTTATCTGGCTGTCACAATAGGTGGTTATCAAGTGTTTTGCTAAAAACGTACTATTATTCATTTTGCCACGCCTTTGATTTATACACACGCATCGACGCGTTTCCTCTCCATTGGTTCTGGTGATTTCATTTCACTTGTTTACATCAGAAATAATGAATTGTACAATGTTGGGTCTTATTGTTATTCAAATTGAAAGGAGCGAAAGTTGAACGATTAGTATTTGATGGCATGGAATTATTTCGGAGTAGATTTCTTAATATTAGTTATTGCGATTTCTTGCTTTCTTTCCTTTAAGAACCTCGAAAATCTTTACCATATCACTGCATATAAAGAAGTGGTTGGTGATCATAATAGTGACAATGTAACTTCCAACACCAACGTTTATGGACTGATATCTGTACACAAAAATGAAGTGACGTAAGTTATTTTTAGAAGCTATAATTAATACTGAAGTCATTATTTAAAATAAAACCTTTGTATCGGTTTAAGTCTTCATATTTTAACTGAGATCTCATGTAATTATTTCGTGTAAGTTCATATAGCTCCCGTAATTATCTCCTGTAGCTATTGTAGAACTTCCAACATTACTTTTACTAAAGGTATCTTATGATGACCTAGACTAATAGACACTATCACACTCTTATTCCAACCTGTTACAGCCTGATGAAAACATGCGGAAATACTAACTCTAAATTAAGTCTGTGTGATTTTAACAGATGATCGTGAAAAAGTGATCAGTGAATGAAATAAAATTTTCCCTAATTTAAAGAACTGCGTGATTGTTTGCTATTTGAACCAGCTGATTTGGATTTTAGCTTAGTTTTCAATTTGCCTTATTGCACTTTAACTACGTGCAATGTAGTTAGAGTTACTTGTTTGTTTCCCTGATAATCGGAAATTTTCCTACTTATGAGAGTTATAATAAGTTGGACTTTCGTCGCAAAATAACGTCGCTTAACCAGCTATCTGCTTCTATAGTTAACTTGGTTCTTATGCAACATTTATGCAGCATTTATACACAGTAACTATGTTCTTGGTTATCATTTTTATTTCGGAGGCATTTCAACTTTCTACTTGTTTCCCTACCGGAACACACAATCCCACTAGGTCATATCAACTGGCACTAATGAGCACTATTTCTTCCTAATATAGGACTTTTAAGAGTTAGAAGTGAACTTAGGACCTTCATTTTTCTATTCACAATTATTACTACAATTCGAACATTGGATCAGAATTAAACACTTCATAATCGAAATCTACCAACTTGAGCTCCAGCGTTACTACCATTCACCGTTTTTTGTGTTTCTTTCAACACAACCGGTTTAATCACACCTTACCATCTAAAGTTGAAAATGCACCTCGAAACCAGTGACTAGATTTTTTCTATAATCAGATATTTAGGTGTGAAACTTGTGGATGTTTATCTGGTTCCAGCGTAGATATTGTCACCAAAAGACATCAGCAATAGAATGACTGTAAATAAGAAAAATGTACAGCTAAAGGGTTTCAAACTGCTGTAAAGCTGCTATCTAATGGTAGCTGGCCTTCAGCAGTTCCTTATCAGACGTCAGTTTACGTAGGAATCTGCTTTAAAAGAGACTAATTGGGTCACCATAAGACTTTTCTATAGAATGGGAAACAATAAATCAAATTCATCGGATGAATTAAATAATAAATCCTAGTAGTGACAAATGTGACGACAATGTCTCATTATTCAAAAACTCTTTGTCAATAAAAATGTGTGGTCTGGGTAAAAGCAAAACATATATATATATAATTGTTTTTACAGAATGGCATTTTGAATAGACCGTTTATGACATTAGAAAATTTATCATAAGCTTGATAGATTTTATTAAACATTAGATGGGGGAAGAATTTACCTGTAACTAATTTTTGGAACTTGATTGACTTTCCATTAAAGTGAAAATCTACTTTATAATAGTTTTGTTATATTGCTAAGTCTGTACTGAAATCTTTCCTTAAATTAATCCTTTTCCCCTTCGAAACCTTCGAAATGTTCTACCAACCGACTTTAAAATGCATTTTGTGGAGTTCTAAGTCAGCTTGAAAGATAGTCTCTTATCAATAACAGTTGGTTACAGTATACTTAATTGACGGAAGTTGAAATATCTGACTCATTAGTGGCTGAGGAGCCAACACACGTGCTTTCAGACCGGATAACCTAGAACTTTGTTGTCCTTGGTGTCATAACCTCACAGTGTTGATAAAAGGTTTCTTAGAAAATTGAGACGCTTCAGAACTTTTTTTTTCTTGTTTGTGTTTTAGTATTCTTCTCAGTGAATTGTGTCTTTGATAAAATCGACGTAGAAATTAATTCGTGTAATGTATAGTTAGTATTTTTAAATGAAGCCGTTTAAAAATTTTGTCCTGAATAAAAGAATGATATACTGAATAACTTCATTTAAGAATGTTCTGTGCAAAATATTATAAATCCGTCGAAAAGGCTGTCATATTCGGTGTTAAGACAGGTCAGGTCATTTGTAGATTTAGTGACTGAACAAACTTCTTCTATATCCAGGGTTTGGGATTTAACATGTAAATTATCATTGCTCCTGCGGTCTGAAAGAGTTTGATTCGTACTCTTTTAGCTAGGTTCCCGCGTATTTTGTCGATGGCTTTGAAGTTAGATTGTGGGCTCGCTTGGTGTCCAGATTCGCTTAGGTGTCCCAGGATAGAGCTTCGTACGAATCTCTTTTCTCCTTTATGAAACCATGAGGGTAAGTGTTTAGTGATGCGTTTGGATAGCAATCTTTGGGTACGGCCGACATATACCTGGCTCCACACAAGCAGTTCAACTAGTAGATATACATTGATGAGGTCAGCAGTGGTAGCGTATCCTTCACTTTCATGCGAATCATTGTTTTTATGGAGAAAGTTTGTCAAAGTCGAACCGAGAAGAGGGTTTTCTTCAATGAGTGGGACAGGCGGTTTCTGAGTATTCCTGCCGATGAGCTTCCACTGCACTCAGGTAGAGAAGTCCTTTAGGAGCGAAAATGTGGTCGGTTTAAGTGGTTTAGGCCTCATAGATTTTGTGATGGAACGTTGGGATTAGCCATTTTCAAGGGGAATTCTTTTCAGCGTGTTCAGCTCTTCCTTTACTCTACCAGGGCTGCGAATTCTACGGATTCTACGGGCACCAAACTATGAAAATGACTGAGTTGTCTGTTACATGTCAGCTTCCTGTAAATGGGTCATTTCAGTGTTCCATCTTGTTAACTTCTTGTTAGTTGAGTGTCCAGAAAAGATATTTTTAAATTGGACTCCTTCTCTAACGTAAAATGGATTGCAGGGTGGCAGTTAGCTGAAACAGTCCGGGATGTCTTTTAAATACTATTCATTAAAGTTAGTTATTGTCTGGTTTCTGATTTCAAATTTATCTTTTTACTTATTTTTATCCAGGGGCTATATTAATTTACCATCTTCAAGGGTGTTTCCTTCTGGGGCTACATTGTACCTTGAACCATTAAAACAACAACAACAGCAGCAACAACAACAGAATGATAATGAAACGCTTCACTCTCCATCTACATGTCATCAGCTCAACGTTCCATACAATCTGACTATATTTCCTGTAGATATGATGACTCTGGAGAAGCCTACTGATCCCTTTTATCCAAATGTACAAAATTTAAGCCAATTTCAATCAATTAAGCAGAATTCTACATCATATGGACCAGAAAACTTTCAGAGACAATTTAATGGAAGAGTGAAACGATGTGAGTTGTTTTCTATTTTTATTCATCTGTTCTGTAAATTGATTTTTATCAATTCTAAACTAAGCTGCGCTTTCAGGTGTGTTGATTTTGCTAAAATTAAATGAGGCATCGGCTTCTTTGAAATCTTAGTCTTTATACTGAGTATAGTTTTGTGGTTGATTTCCTATTGGAGTAAAACAGACTTTATTTCGAAGTAAATGATTCGTACTACATAGTGTAAGTAGACATTCATGATCTCTCCTTGATGCCAGTGTAATCGGTAACAATTCGACTTCTACTCTGCTTTATAGTTAATGGTTGGTTCTAGACTTTAAAAAGATTTATGACTAACAAGTAGTATTGTCCTCCTAGTATTAAGTAGGCTTATTTTGAAACCATGAATGTTTAACTACCGTTTAAGCCAATGTAAAATGTAACCGGAGGCAATTTCAAGTTAGTGAAATGTTTGTTCTCAAGGGCCTGAACAATATGCACGAGTGACACATTGATGGATGAGCTTCGACATATACATTCAGTTTTATTAGCTAATGGTTATCCAGAAAACTTTATCAATTGTCACAGTAAGGACAGGCCACGTCTAGAAAAGACAGCTTCTGTACCAAAGAAAGCTATCTTTATTAACCTATCATTCACGGGTGACTAGATTAAGCAGTTGAAAGACAGCTCAATGACTTCGGTCAGCCATCAAATGCACATTCTACTCCGCGCATCTTTTTCTCACATGCTGAACATTTTCGATCCCTGTACTTAAAGGACGAAATTTTGTGGACTCTACTTCAAACTGTATCTACAAGTTCATCTGCAGTTGCGGTGACACACACCTATATAGGTAGAACCAATAGAATGTTCCAAAATGGTTATTAAAAAAAACACAGAAAATCCCAACGCAATTAGTCTGAATAGAAATCCATCATCATCCATTGAAAAGCACTTATTAATGTCAGGTCACAAAATCAATATTAATGGCTGTTTCATAATTATTTCACATAAATCTAATTCGAGGCTATTGAAGGTGATGGAATCACCTTGGATTAATCACACACATCCTAAACTATGTGTACAAAAAACAATAGACTTCAACCTTCGCCTACCATGGACTACATGACCTATTTAAATATGATTGTTAAAACAAGGCGTCTAGAAGACAAATTTCGCGAGATGATTGGTCATTAGTATGTACTTTTGCTTTTTATATAACTGAGTAATTGTCATGAACTTTATTTTATTACTGCTAACCTTGTTAGTTGTAAAGCAGTTGTAAAAAAAATACGAAATGATGCCATCATCTGGCGAAATTTGTCTTCTAAATGCCTTATTCAGAAGAAAATACATTCTTTTCCCTAATTATCGGTCAAACCAAAACTTTGAATCAGTTCATGAAATTTTTGACAGTTAGTTTGAACTATGTAGGAAAGTGTACACTGTCTCGTAGGAGTCCTCAGGATCGTAAGAACCAATGGCTGTAGGCAATCGACGGGAAAATCTAAAATTCAATTAAATAATAAATATGACCCGTTGCACAAAAAGTGGCCCTTGTGGTCTAGTGGATAACGCTTTGGCGTTTGAAACTATGGGTACTGGGTTCGAGCCTCGGTGGGAACATCATCACTCACTGCTTGGAGAATGCAGCTACATCCAGGTGACGAGTCCCGAATAGGACGAAATGCGCGTTATCTTGGATTCCACTACTAGTCACCATCCACAATTAAATTGGTAAAATGGCTTGAAGTTTTTTTCAATGGTACAGATGCAGTTCACTCTTTTCTGATCCGTGATATCTATTGAACCATATTGTTCTTCCACGTTACTGTTAGTTCTCCTTCATATTCCTGCTTCTTCTTTTCTTGAATCTCTTATTCTCTCTCTTTTGTGTATCTTTTTATGGTACATTGAGTGTGATAACTCGAATCTATGCACTTCTATGCAAAGTTCTATGTTGAAACAAGTTAGTCAGTTGGTCAATATCTACTAGCTGGTCCACTTTCTGACCTAATACAAACACTTTACTCCCCACTTATAAATTAGGATTCGGTACAGATTATTCCTTTAGCATCGTCTAGAAGTTGACAGAAACAAACCTCCATCGGGGGTGTTCAAAAGACTGATTTTTTTTCTTTCTGAGTGTCTTCGCCTAACACAATTATACATCTTACTTCCTCGAAACCATCTGGATCTTTTCCAGGTAGTAGGTGAATTCCTAAGGCAGTCATGTGTTGTCAACACTTTCTAACTTTGATATAACACTACTGGTTTACGGAATGCCTTCACACACTCTCCTGTCTACAAGGCTCCTTGTTAATCTACAGAGATGACCACTGAAAAGCAAGCATAGACAGGAGAGGAGAATAACTACAGTCTGTATAAGTTGTTTTGTCGATGTAGCCTAATCTGTCGAAGACTTTGTCACGTTGATTTCTATAGTCGTTAGTCAAAACAATAAACAACCATAATTTCTATTTATCTATTAATTTATTAATAAGTGATTGATTTATGTTTTAAACGTCTAGCCATCTTTAATTTGTATTTTCCTTATAGCCTACTTGTATTAGCTAGTTCCAGCTTAGTTTAGCTTTGTTTTGTATGTCTGTATAAGTGAATGATTTAATTGTTTCACGATCTTATTATCATAATTTTTGAAATATTCAAGCTAAGCATCAGCCATATCGTTTTTATGATGCGTTAATACTCATCGTTCAGTCTAACCAACTAACTAACTAACTAACTAGCCAACCAACCAGTTTATTTATTTAGACATTGGCCACTGAAGTATAACTGTCAATTTCAGATTGGCAGTTAAAATTTTGTCTAATTCACATTATATATGATCTGATTGACATCATTTAAATGGTAATCAAGAAAGCGGGGATAAATTCATGACACAATGTACTACTGACTGATTGAGGTGAGTAACTGTAAACGAGTTATATCAACCAGCATGGCTTGCTAGTCAGCCAGGACGAAAGAATCTAAATACTGATTGGCTGTTTCTCTCGTTTGACATCGAGCTCATCTGCGGTGTACTACTCGATTTGACTCCGATCAGACAGCCAAATCTGTGTAAAACTCCAAAATTATGACTAGCTATGTCTATGAGATGTTGCAATGTTGTAATGAACCTAAATTATAGGACGCCTTAGTTGACTGTATTTCATTGTTAGATACAGAAAGTTTTGATTAACTGATGTCGTCTGCTATCAGTGCATGATGTTACCTTGGGAACGTGATTTGGTGTCATTCAATCTTAAAGGCAGAGGCTTTACCATCAACCACCTTATTTAGGTTATGACTGACACTAGTATTTTGTTTTCAATCACAAAACATTTATTTGAGATGCTTTCCACACCAGTATTGATTTGTAAGTCTTCTTGAAAAATATAACGGATTTGAGCCTAATTCATTTTCAGCTGCGTACCAGTTAGTTTTCACAATCAATGTTTATTCACCAATGAGCTGTTTGTTAATATTAGATGGTTAGAGGCAATCGGTCACAGGAAGCCTTGGACCTAGGTTTCGTGCTAGTTGGCACTCACCAGTCAGCAAGGCGTACCTGCAACCTTGAGGGAACTCATGTCCCTTCTGAGACTCGAACACGCGTAACCCCGGTGACGCGTGCAGTCAGAGACATTACCACTGAGCTATGTAGGCTTGCAATTGACCTCCTGTGGAACTGTAGTGGATATTTTGATTAGACACTAGTAACTAGTGTGACGTGTCTAGTCCTTTCTTTGGTGCAGACTGAATTCTATCAGTCAGGTTTGTAATGTGGCCACCATTCTAGGTAGCTCGCCATCACGGTGCACATTGGTTTGTCAGTTTGTGGCTCATCTTCTCCTGGTTTCTATCACCAACTTTGAGTTTCACTGAAATTCATTTCTTGATGAGAAGAGATGTTGTACATGCAAAACCACTGCATTCCTTGACGAGCAACATTAGTTGTCAGTCGAATGAGTTAAGAAAGATCTAAAGGTGGTCAAAATGAAACCTGAAATTTCTCCGTGAAGTCTTTGATTTCTGGTTTCAGTCACTTAGAAAGGTATAACTGCCTGGTTGAAGTCCTTGGAAGGCTAAGAATCGGTGGCTTTATACTGTTCTTGGTATGGCACAAAAGTATTGTTAATGGTGTAGATGCATTTACTATTAATATTCTCCCGTATTCATTAAACTGTCATGTTTCTCCATGTTACTTTTCCTTCTCCCTCTTATTCCTGCTCACTATACTTCTTCTGAGTTTCTCTAGCTTTGTGTGGCTACTTCAACTGCTTCATTTCTATACGAAGTTCTATACTGAAACTCAGCCAGCTAGTTAGGAATGACATATATGTAACCATTTTTAAAAAGGTATAAACTAAACAGTTTTATAGATTGGATAAACTTGCAAATAACAATTACTATTATTTTAGAAATAAAGTCGAAGACATCACTAATTTTTATGTTGCACGATTTCTCTGTGCAAAGGTCCCAGAATCTTCACTAACCACTTCACTGTTCCGTGAAGAGGAAGACCCGTAAAGACGTGGGTACCTGTTGGTTTCATGGACTCATACGTGGCTGATGATAAGATAATACTCCTATTTGGTTCAGTTTTTTGAGAGAGTCGGTTATTAGTTTCTCCGCTCTTATATTGAGATTGGAATTTAGTTTGATCACTCAACATAATCGCTTTTATCCAGTAAAACTATACTGTCACCTTTATCTGGCTTGCTAATAATTTAGCTTAGAGGTATAAATGTATGCTATCCATGGATGTATCATCACTATTCACTAATGTACCCTCTTATGGAAACAATAGATTACATTTGTCAAGAAATCACTGAAAGGCAACTGGACTTAGGAATCCCCCTGTGTAGCCTCAAAGAATTACTTCTCAAATGCACAATGAAAATGCACTTCGTCTTCAATAATTCATACTACCGACATGTAGATGGAATAGCTATGGGTTCACCATTAGGCTCAGTATTAGCGGACCTCTTTCTCGCAAAACTTGGAAACGGGAAATTGAA